GGCGGGGGCCGCGGGCTGACCCGGGGCTGGGGGCTGCCACGCCGCGAGGAGGGCACTTGGTGTGCCAGAAACGGTCCTGTGCCCCGCATGGAGGCTTTCCCGCAGACCGAACAGATACAGAGCCTGAAGGGAGTGCCACTGGTAGTGCGGGGGAGGCAGCAAGCTGGCTAGTTCCAAGCTGTTCCAGGATTATTTCAGCTGCTTTTCTACACTGCGCTCTAGAAGTGAAGTAATAACTGTTAGTGTCAGGTATGCCTGTCGAAAGAATGGGGTACAGCGGAGGGGGTCAGGCACTCATTTAAAAGTGACGAACAAAATAAATCTACAAATGTATGGAAGCCTAAGCCAATTTTGGAAGTGCTCTTACTTTCAGGTTCCTACTGCACGAGCAACTGGAGAATCTAATGTTAGAAGCCTTTGCAGGAAGAGTGTGATGTTCAGGATTATGTACCATACTGTCTGCTGGAACATTTGTGGTAACTGACTGTTTTTCTTTTTCTTTGGCACAGGTTATGAAGGAATCACAGGTGGATGAGATTAGATTGGTGACCGGGTCCGCTGAGTCCGCAGCACTCAGACTACGTGTTCCTCTGCAGCAGGTGCAGGCCCAGCAGTCACCATTTCTGATAACTTCCACATGGATTCTGATGGCAGTGACTCTTCAGACTCAGAGGTGAGCATTCACTCCTGTCCAAAATGCCCATGAAATTGAAAACCACTGTGGATTTAAGACTAGTGTGGTAACTTACTGATGTAAAGTCACTTTCCATAGTTAGCTTGTTTTCAAAGTCTCGGAATTGCCATACCTGTGTCTCAGAACAGCTGCGTTAGGCTGTATCCAGTGAGTGTAGGAGTTCACACAACTTGAACAAGTCCAACTTCTATAAAATGTTAAAGGGTATTTCCTGAAACAACCTCTTAGCTCTTAGAGCAAAAGTGTTCAAATACCAACAGCATACTGTGCTTTGTGTTTTTTTGCAAACAAATGTGACCATTTTGCTGATGTGCTGGCACTTAGCAAAACTGTTCAGTCTTAAAGCCTGTCCCCTGTGAATGACTTCCAGCAATATAAGAACAGATGTCTTTTCACATTTTTAAAAAAACTAAAAATCCCCAGCCCCGCCCCCCCCCCCAGCTTTGGTCATGGGCAGAGGTCTGCTTAAGCCGGGTTCTGGTACTTGCTCTCTGGAGCCAGCAGGTAGTGTGGTGTTTCTGCCTGATGGGTCCAGGTATTGAGGAGTTTCCAGTAGAGGCTGTGAATACCAAGTGCCTGTAGAATTCTATGGGGATTGCAAGTACCCTTATGAAAAAGTTAATGGACAAAGAATTTCTGAAAGAGAAGTAACTGCCTGAACTGTCGGTTCCAGTAAAACTCCTAGTTCTGTGAGCGTGTTGCATATTTTAACTCCCAGATGAGCATGGCACAGTGCTTTTCTGTAACAGTAGTAGGCTCTCTTTCTAAACCAGTATTTCATTCTGCAGTCTGATCTCCTGCTGGGCTTTCTGGACAGTCTGGACCCAGAAATGTTTCTCAGATATACTGATTCAGAGTCAACATGCCTGGAAAAGCTGGAGGAAGAGATCTGTGGAGAAACAAATTCCATACCAGCCTCCCCCTCTCCGTCTGTGGGGTCCCCATCAGCTAAGCTGGAGGCCATTAATGAACTCATAAGGTTTGATCATGTGTACACAAAGCCCCTAATGCTGGAGATTCCTGTTAAAATGGGGAACCAAACCAATATGCTAGTGAAAATTGAAGAAGTATCTCTCTCTCCATTTGAAGACAAAGATATCCCTGAGGTTCCAGTGAAAGAGGAACCTGTAGACAGCTTCATGCCTGAGCTGGGCATCTCTCATCTGCTTTCCTCTCATCATAGCCTTGCAGCCTCAAACTGTCTGTTGGATGCCTGTAGTGACTCTGGGTATGAAGGATCCCTGTCACCCTTCAGTGACATGTCTTCTCCACTTGATACTGACCATGCTTGGGAGGATAGCTTTGCCAATGAACGCTTTCCCCAGCTGATCAGTGTCTGACTCCCCTTGGATAACTCTCCTGGCAGGATAATGGGATATGCCCCTTTGCGGGGTGGAAGGGAAATGGGGCATATTCAGAAAAGCATTGTTCACTTCTGCCTGTGCTACAGCTGGAGTGATGGCCAATGCATCCTGGTATGAAAAGCTTGGGGTATCCTGCCTTGCCTCCCCCCACCCCATCAGTGTTGGCTTATGAGGGAGGAAAGTTTGTTTCTCAATAACTTGCCAATTCTACATGAACTTAATGTTCATCTTGTTTTCCATTTAAAATAATTTTAACACCAAAAACTGCAGTGGAATATTCACGTATAGACAACGGGGTTAAATCGAAAGAGTCTGTATATCTTACAGATTTACTATGTAAATGCTTGTTTTCCATTTGCTATGTAGAGTTGCTTTCTCTGTTTAATATTTAACTGTATTGGTGCAATTAAAGTGCAATGCAGCTCCCTGACCCCTTTTTGCCTTGGATCTTGGTGGGGAGGGGAAAGTATCTGGGCTTTGCAAAATCTGAAGCTATAGAAATTTGGGAGATGAGGTCTCTCAGGGGCTTGTCACTATCCCGCCTTGAGGCACCAATCCAGCAGCCCTTCGCCGTGTATGTAGCTGGGTGCTTTAGCAGCTGCTTTCTGGGAGCACTTCATGTTGCAAACTGTTAAGGGAATGCAGGTGCTAGAAGCTTGATGCCTGAATAAAATGACTGTGGTGGCCAGTAAGGCCATTCAGGGTGCCCCATCTGCGGGAAGGGGGGGGTGCTTTGCAAGGGGTGTGTCCCACTCGTGAAGTGGTGGGAGCTGTACCTGGGATAAAAGAGGTGCAGGCTCTGTGTTCCCATAGGAGGTCTTGAAGCATAAAATTAACTTTACAGCAGCTAATTTCAAACACCAGAATAGGACTCTTTGTCCTCATCATTTGTTCCATTATCACAGTATGAAAGCCACTGGGAGTGACAGAGAAGAAACTGAAATTTCATACTGAAGGTGTGAGAGCTGCTGCAGGTGTTTGCACAGCTGTTGTTGGTTTTGGTGCCGTTTCCCTCTTGCTTTAAGTTTTGACAGAAATAACTTGAGGTGGGGGAGGGAAAGAAATGGGGATAGGATGGGAGGGTAGTGTTCACTAACCAATGAGGGTTTTTTATATATATATATTTACATAGTAATCAACCTCCACATACTAAAGTGTGAGGATTTAAACTGTCAGCAAAGGATCTTTTGTCTGAGATCTTCCTCTAGGTGAGAGATGCTAAGTTAAACTAAACCCAGGCAAGGATGGGGCAGCAGAGGGAAGAGTAACATGCCCAGAGCGGCAGATACACGTTTGCACTGTGCTTGCTTAAGATGACTGCTTTCTGATTGCTCTGACTTCTGTTGTGGAATCCCTGCCTCACAACAAGCGTGGATCCAGGCCACATGGTTCACATGTATGTTACAGCTGCATTTGAGTAAATAAATAATCTGTAATGGAAGCCACACATCTGTTCTAGCTAACTGATACAAGACACAGGCTCTGGAATGATTACAAGTCCAGTTCCAAGTCCACGCCAAGATAAATTCTCTCCCTCTCCACAGAGTTCGCTCTGTAACCGAGATACTCCTCCCATCTCTATACCCTCCCAGCCAGCCAAGACAGCCTTACACAAGCCTAAATAATTGGGTTTTACACTATTCTTTCCTTTTCTCCAACTCTGCACAGCAGAAGTATTTAAGTCTCATCTAAATCCACAGTACAATTTAAGTGAGTCAGTGCTTGACTTGCCCTAGAAACCTCAGGGGGTTTTATTCTTTTTTTAATACCAACCTGAAGTGCTATCTATTCTTCCCTTATTTTGAAAGCAAAGGTGATGCTGGTCTAGCACACCCACCTTTATACTTCAGCGTGCTTGAACAGAAGATATTAAAGAAAAAAAGCAAAATGTTACATTCCAATAAAATAATTATCAAAATAAAACCTGTTTAAAACTCTCAAACATTTTATTTTTTTACAGAACTAAGCAAGCTAGGAATTCTTCATTTTAGTCTGAAGTAAAATGAAAGATCTGAAAACACAAGCTATAGCAACAGCCTTTGCTACCCCTTTGCTTTGTTAGAGGCCTTTGGGCCAATGCATATTTACAGCGACTCTCCTTTCCTGGCAGCTTCGGGTTTATTCTGCCCTGCTGTCATCCCCTGTGCTGAACACTGTGGAGGAAAGAAGTGACATGCCCTTGGGACGATGCAGTCAAATTCAAATCTTAGGCCAGAAAAGTATTTTACCCTCCAGCTGAAGGATCGGACATACGCCCTCAAGGTTTTCACTTTTATTAGCAATGAAACACAGTCATCTAAAAAATATTTTAGAAAATTTATTGAAAACTGACATACAAAGGGTGATTTGGTCCCAAGAGAAGACAGACCAGAATCAGATCTTCCATATTTCAAAATAAAGTTTTTCCTAATACTGTTTCACATTTGCTATCCTGCTTGTAAACAGCATTATTAAAACTCTTTTTAAGGAAGCCAACAACAAACAAAACTGTTACAAATACAGAAGTTTGAAAACACCTAGTAGCCTGTTCTCTCTTACCGTCTCCCAACTATTGCTATAGCAAGAACCTCGCTCAGTCCTGGATACTCGATTCCTGCTCTACCACACTCTCCTTCCCCATCAATTTAAGCGATTCAACCCTGTTCTGTGCTATCACAAGGGCAGAAATGAATTATGAAAAAATTAAAATGTTTTCTACCAAAGCAAATTTCTTGGACACAGTTTTTCCCATCTCATGGTCTTTGTCAATAGTTCCCCACTCTATTCTTGTTTGAGATGGCAGAGTGACAGGGGACAGTGGTGCTGTGTTAGTATCAAACGATGAAGAAGTAGTAACACCTCTGAATGTCAACCTTCGGTACAAACAGAACAGGAAAAAATTATGCTTAGAAGCCATCTACAAAAGTTTATTCTTCTGAAAATTTGATATGCAATTTATCATTTTTAAGAGGAAAAAACCTGCATCTAGATTTGATGTATTCAGGCCTCCTGTACTCTCCTATATCCTCTGTCACACTTTAAGTATTGCTGAGATGGCTTCACCAAATTTTTTATCCTTTCTTTTCAGTTTATTTAGGATTCAGAGCTATCAGCTAAAATAGTTACAACCTTGAACTTTCACTATAGTCCTGCAAGCTTAAACCCAGGTAATTATTTGGAGGCACCCTATTTCCTACCCACAGTGACTCAAGCCTCCTCCCAACTGCATTGCTTTACTGTACACGCAAGCAATGTAGCAGGTCAAAGGCTGTAGATTTTAAGCATGTTCAGCAGCTTAATACATGAGGAATTTTACACAGTGCATAAAGGAGATTTATAGCGGACCCTGAAAAGAAATTAGACATAATAGCGAGGCAAAGCCGCGCACATTCGCCAATGTAATGAAAGTTCTAGAATGTTAAAGTTTCCAGAGTAACACCTATTCAAACGCTGGAATGTTTTTAGTGAAGCTCTGAAATGTTTCAACAAGAGACAGCAAATTTCACACAACCTTCAACAAGTGCAGCAAGATAGGATTTAACAAATAGGAGTATCTTCTGAACAACGCTTCTGCTGTCAGCCAAAAGAAAAGAAAGGATGACTGCAGGAAGAGAAGCTTGATTTTAAACTATTGACTATGGGTTATTCAACATTCAAAAAATATCACAAAGATTATCAACTAGGTGTGCAAAGGAAGAGTAGATTTTCTTACACAAGCAGCTGCATTACTGTGTACTTGCTCCTTTATGTTAGCAAGATGTCAAAAGCAGACTGGGATGCTAATACTCTGAACAGAACCTACTGCTTGGAAAGGCATTTCTTATGAAAAGTCTCACGTATCTCTGAGAAAGCTCAAGGACTTCAGAACAGAAGACTTTTTGCCTTGTTTAAACGTTTTAAGTGTAATGGAACTGCTGTGTATTGAGGAAAGGTACAAGCAATAATTCATTGAGAATTCCTTAACACCCTAAGCAGGGTATAAAATTCTTTTGGCGTATGTCGGTATAAACTATGCGATGTTATATTAATGGCACATGTTCTGGCTTAAATTTTAAGTCTAGATTCCCTCAGGAAGAAGACAAGCATCTTCTATATTTCACCACCCATGCCAGCAGTCCCAAAGTTTGGGACTTGGGTTACAGATGATAAGCATTTAACCTTTATGCCAGAAAGCAGCTCCTCGTTATCTGATTTCCTTATCATGTTCATCAAAATGAAAGGATGCTATTTATTTAATCAAAAGTCACACCGTCTTCAATGGACTTTCCAGCTCAATGCATACAAAGAATCACAGCACAATGTAAAATGCAAATCAATTGGCTGAGAAGCATTTTTCTCCAGACTTTGCATCATTTGGGGAGGGGGGCATCAACACCCCAGAAGCACAATTTAGGAGCCAATGAACCAAAGATGACTAAGGTTAGTAGGTATCTTGCAAGTTAGTAGCTGGTTTTACTTTCTACAAAGCTAGAGGCTGATGCTCAGCTGTAACATTCCTTCCATACCACACTGCATTCTACATGTGCGTTTACATCAAGGACAAACCATCCACAGATGAAGTAGAGTGAAAAGCTGTATTCCCATACAGGATTGCTTTTCTGTCTGTGACTAGACTCAAAAGTATTTCCTCCTTTCTACACTTCTTTGTTGTTCAAACTAACTGTGCACCACAGCCTTAATGGCTCAGTAAGTGAAAGATGTGGCTTAAGCCACAGTTACATTAAATATTTGTATTTTATACTTGACCAAGGACAATTAAGAGGATATTTCACCACTAAGCAAGATGGAAAGCTACTTCCTTGTTCCAAAGGCCTTTGGATTACCTTCTCAGTAAAAACAAGAATATTTAACGGACCGGAATACAGAAATCTTGGGGGTTTTTTTCAGTTTCCTTTAAGTTGTGTCTGGCCAATCCACATTCTTACGATTGTTAGCAGGAAAACCAAAAACAAATAATAAAACTTCAGATTCACACATCAAACCAGAAAGAAAGAGGCAATAAAAAAACCAGCAACAAAAAACATGAGAAGCTCACCACTTCCAGTCTAAAATCTGGAATCTACAACTCCATTTCTTCTTCTGCACACCCAGAGATTCCCACACTAGCATATGGATCTGGAGACATGGCAGTCTGTTGTGGTTCAGGGAATGTTTCAGTCTGTGGGTCAAAAGCAGTGCTTGGTGTTGACTGCTTAGCTTGACACCCTTCTGTACTCTGCTGCTTGAAGTTCTTAACAGAAACAGACTTTAGTTTATCTGTGAGAAATTCAGGGAGAGGTTTCCAAAGCACCAGCTCCATAGAAGGACGGCTCCTAGAAGAGATGGAGTCTCAGTTAAACTTAAGTTCTCCAGTCACAACTATTAAATGCAGAAGATCAGTGAGTATCTTCACCCTTGGGCTAGCCTGGAACTATCTTCCAGAATCCATATACCCTTTTCCCCCCCCTATTAAATTTCCTCTTCCTTAACTAGTTCCATTACTTCCAGTTCTAACCCTGTATTTTCCCCCTTTTTTTTTTTCACTAAATTTGATGACCACTGTCAGTCACACTTCAGGACCTTATTCTTTTGGAAACTTGCATACATAAAAATCAAGATATAGCGGTTCATTCAACAAATTTCACTGTGTACAGACGAGGAATACAAAACAGACACCTTGATGACTGCTACAGTTACAGTTACTTCTCTTTACATTAGGATAGTTTTTCCTACTTTTGACCAGATGAATGGTTTGTTATTCAATGCTGGCTGCATCATGCAGTAATTAAGGACATCTCCACAAACATGACACTGGGTCTCTCTTTTCATTTGCATGTGTTAGCTACATAGCACCATGATTTCCTCCAGAACTTACATAGATTCTATTATTTTCTTTGTCAGGACTTCACCAAAATCCCTCTTCATCCCTTTCTTAAGGGTATCTGACAGGATAAGAGTGGGCAGATTGCTAACATTTCCATCAGCATGAACTTCCTCATCTTCATCAATTATCCTAGGAATGGAGGGGGAAGAGGGAGATAAACACTATTGAGCACACTGTTAACAGGCACATCCACTGCAGACGACAGTTCTACCCACGTGCGCTGCACTGCACAGGACATCTCCCACCTAGGCTGGGTACCAGAAGCAGCGGGGCCGTGTGAGCGTGAGCCTCTTGGGCCAATGTACCCTAAGAACGACTGTCATCACATGTCATCACAGAAGCCACGTGAGCAGCTGTGCCACTTCTGGTACCTGAGCTAGCTTTGTTATCCCTGCATAGTCCAGCAGCGCACAATGCAGACATACGCTAAAGAGAAAAAAAATAAATTCACTTCAGGGGAAGTGTATGACTCAGTCACATTACAAGAGTGAGTCTCAGTTGTGCAGTAGCTTTGCCTGCTCAGTTCTCCAGATCTTAACTTTGAGAATCACTGCAAAGCTACAGAATACAGTCCTTAACCTTTAACAACCTTGCACCAGTTTCTCAGAGGTTAAAAAGACAAAAAAGTTGAAGCATTTAGAAGAAACTGGAAGCATCTCCTTTGTTTTTAGCAAACCTTTTAAAGAAAATTTACCAGAGTAGCTGGGAAGGATGGGGGATAATCCTCTGAGAGGTCCATAGCAGACTTTGTAATGCAAATAGAGCCAGATAATAAAGACTTATATCACTACTCCGATTTACCCATGAAAAGATAAAATAATCTAACAGTACCTTGCTTCCCTTCACGCATCATCTATGGAGTAATCATCTAAAAAAAATATCTTGTTTTATAATTTATATAACTTGGCTTTTCTAACAACTGCCCAGTGGTCATTTCAGATATTTCAGAATACTAGCTCAACTGCAATCAACTGATATATACACGACATTCCCAGAAATCTTTCCAAGATAAGAACGCACAGTACCTTTATTAAATTATTACAATAGACTGCCCACAGCCACCCCCCATTCCCCCACAGCCACCCCACTACCCCAGTATCGAGCTACCTGGTATTTAGCAGCAAGATGAACCTCAGTCTCACTGCATATGAGCAGAGAGCTCTCTGGCTCATGCTGTTCTCTACACTAACACATTCACATCTATCTTGAGCATCTCGAAGTATTAATCCCACAACATGCTGCAGCTGGTTGAAAACAGATGAGCTCAAGTCTGACCAGATAACATCAGTTAAAATTTGAACTCTGGATATTCACAAAGAGCATAAAATCCCATTATGGTGTACTGATGCTGCATAACGATCGTGAGAAGGTGCTTATTTACATATTCAGCATCTCTTGCTCTAGCACCCTCAATTTCAGATCACAGTATCAGCCCCAAGACTCGTAGGACCGATAGGTAGCCTAAAAAGAAATCACCTGGACAGAAGGTTCATCTCAGACTCAGAGTAGTGTTATCACACTAAGTGCTAGATTTACCCCTTAATGCCCACCAAAAAAAGGGAAAGCTCAGCAAAGCCAGCCTCCTCAATCCCTGCATTTACCTGTCCTCAATTTCCTGAAGCTTCCTGCGAGCAACCTCGCATTGCTGTTCCCCCATTGTCTGATCCATTTCTTCACAGGGAATTTCTAACATGGCAGTTTCAGGACCGCTGCCACCATACTGACTTGCTACCTCCCCAGCTGCCTGCTGACCTGCACAGAGAATCCATTCTTCAGCGTTGGGATTCAAAGGGCAATTTTTGGCTCCTGTTAGTCTCTTCTTCCGCACAGGGCAACTAAGAAACAAAAAAGTTTATAAGTGTTAAAAGAGAAATGTGGCATTCTACAGAAGAAAACGTTATAGAGAGTCATGTGGATTTCCACAGATTTGAGACTATGAAAACACAACCTCCAGAAAGGAAATAAATCCACATTGCTCTTATTAAAACGTGGTACCAATGCAAGAAAATCAGTGCTATGCAATTAATTAGGTAACTGAAATGGATCTGGGCTCATGTGCAGTTCAGGGGAAGAGTTCCAACTGGAAACAATAATAGAAGTTTCCTTCCTGCATATGTTGTAGGTGAGATGTGCTCAAATCTTTATAGAAACAAAAAGCAAATTAAGATTTTTCTGGCTATAAAAAACAAATTGAGTTTACCCTTCTGCCTCTTCTTCTAGCTTATGCTTCTTTCCACAGCGAACAGACACACTACAAAAGAAAAGCAAATAGTAATTTAGCTTCTCATTATTACTTCCAGTGACATTGAGATTTTCAAACAATGTATTTCTGCTTTTTGAAATTTCACTTGCAGCTAAGAGCAACAGTTGCAGTATGTCAGCAGCTGTGAAGTTTTGGACAGTAAATGAAGTTTGTTCCAAAGAAAGTCGAAAAAGCTTGTAATTACTCAGTTCTCCGAGCAGAATACCATGCTAATTTCTCCTTCTTTATGTTATTTAATTTTTCTGCAAGGGGCAAGACCAATTTTTGCTAAAATTCTAATGCTTCAAGAAGGAATACGATTCAACTTTTTTTTTCCCTGTACACTGTCTCACAGTGAGACACTGAAAATGAAATACAACTGAATGACAACATTTTACGGAACAATTTTAATTTTTTGTGCTCGCATATGGGAAAGAGCAAATTAAAAAAAACGTTAAAAAAAGTACACGGCCTTAAAAGCCTGTCAGGATGTCGGTACCCTTCACATTTCCTTCCTTTTGGAAGGCTCCTTCACCCCCCACCAACAGCCTCCAAGGCCGCCAGACGAGCCACCACAACCCTAACCGCGCAGAAGCGAAACACCAGAACAAAACGAACTGTGACCCGTCCTGAAATCAACCCCGCTTCAGGCGAGCCCGTCCCGCCCCGCCCCGCGG